ACACTTATATACACACAGAGAGGACTTGTATTCAAAATATATATAAAACTCCTACAAATCAATAGGAAAATTACCAAAAATAACTAAACTAAAATATGGACAAAATTTGAATTTTAAATAGACACTTCATAAGAGTATATCAAAATAGGCACTAGCATATGAAAAGATGCTCACATCATTACAAATCAGAAAAATGCAAATTAAAATTACAAGATACCACTACACATGCATCAGAATGGCTAAAATTAAAATGACTGACAATATTAACTGTTGGCCAATTTGAGAAGTAACAAGACCTTGCATGCAATGCAGTGGGAGCATAAATTAGGTCAAACATTTCCACCCCTAGGTATATATACCCAGGAAAAACAAGAACATATGTCCACAAAAACACTTGTACAAGAATGTTCATAGCTTTATTCATAATAGTCAAATACTGGAAAAAAGCCATCATCATAAGAATGAATAAACAAATTGTAGTATGGTCATATAATGGAATACTACACAACAACTGGGCAGTAAAAACCTACTGATTCACAAAACACCGTGGATGAATTTCACAAGTACAATTTTGGACAAAAGGCAGCAGATACAAGGGACTCCATTTATATGAAATTCAAGAACAGGTAAATCTTACCTCGAGTGATGGAAGTCAGAATAGTGTTTACTTCTTGTAGGGAAGAAGTGGTTTGAACTGAGACAGGACACAAGCAATTCATCCAAAGGGAATAGAAACACTCTGTGTCTCGATCTAGGTGTTTCAAATGTAAAAATTCATTAAGTTATATATACAGCTAAGTCGAGTATACTTTATTGTATATGACACCCATTTCAATGAAAAAATGATGATACAGGCCTTTACTTGATGATAATGAATAAAAATATTCTACTACAAAAATGCTATCCTGTTATAGCAGCTAAAATAATGTGTGTGGGTATATGGATGCACATTGAAAGATGGATTAAAAAAACTGGAGTAAAATGTTTACAGTGGTTATCTCTTCACTTTTTTCTGTATTTTCCGAATTACTGCATGAGAATGTATTACTTTTATAATAAAAATTATAATAGAGCTAATCACCCTCATTGAGTTTGAAGGGTGAAATATAAGTATGGTGATAGTTGGGGTATGAGGATGAGGCTCTATTTTCTCCAAAGGCTTAAAGCTTTTGAGCTCATTATCTCATTAAAATACCAAGGTTCTGAGTCTTGAGTCATGAGCTTTGATAGGCAATAGTTTTCCCTTTACTGGTTTCCCCTAACTCACCTGGACAAATCCTCTTGTCACTACAGTTTCTACCTTCTAGGCCTGGACTCCTTGCTCCAATTCAAGAATTGGACCTGGGTTGGAATCAGAAAAACCTGCATATAAAAGAAATGGAACTTAGGCATGCTGTGGCTGTTGACAAATTCAGATACAGTCCTGTCATCACAGGGACAGAGAGGTCCAGCACAAGAAAGGCCAAAAGAAAGCCACTCAGGAGACCTAGATGATGATGCTTCAAGTAAAACAGAGAATGATAAATGAATCTCAAATAATCCCTCACAAATTCAAACACTTCAGCCTCCCTAGAGGATCATACTGAGGGAATAAAAAAGCTCCATTATTATCGTATTTTGAATTTAAAAATACAGACTCTGCTACTGTCATTTTTCAGTATCACGTCCCTGTACACGTCCTTCCAAGAAGGCACAGTCATCAGTAGTACACTCTCAGTAGAGGGTGTTGCCACATTCTCAAATGTCACTATCTTTAAAATTACAAAGACCTAAGTTCCCATATGGCGCTGAGAAATTGAAAGAGGTGAAGTTGATCAAGTTACGGAAGTGAGACAGCATGTAGAAGCATGTTTTCAGCATTCTGAGCTCAGGAACAGCTGATTGGTTAAATATGTAACATGACATCCTTGTACTGAAATTTTAAGCAGTCGTTAAATGCTAAGTTTGAGAAACTGTTAAGGGAATGAAAATATACAAGATACAATGTCAGTAAAAATAGTTAGGTAACAAAGACCAAAAAACCCAGTTAAAAATAGGCAAAGAATCTGCAGATATTTTTCCAAAGAAGATATACAAACAGCCAATAAGCACATGAAAAGATGCTCAATATCATGTCATCAGGGAAATTCGAATTAAAACCACAAGACCCTCCTTATACCCACTAGGATGGCTCTAATAAAGACAGATAATAACAGTTGTTGGTGAGAATGGAGAAATTGGAGCCCTCAGGCATGGCTTGGTGGGGATGTAAAATGTTGCAGACGTTTTGGAAAACAGTCTGACAATTCCTCAAAACAGTTACTGAATGAACCAGCAATTCTCTCCTAAGTATATACCTAAGAGAAATAAAAACATATGTCTACATAAAACTTGTACACAAATGTTCACAGCATCATTATTTATAACAGCTAAAAAGCAGAAACAATCCAAAAGTCCATGAACTGATGCATGGAAAAATAGAATGTGGTATACCATACAATGGAATAGTATTAGATAATACAAAGAAATGAAGCCCTGATGCATGCTAAACATGAATGAATCTTGAAAATGCTACGCTAAGTGAAAGAAGCCAGTCACAAAAGACCACATACTGTATGATTTCATTTCTATGAAATGTCCAGATGGGGTGAATTAATAAAGAGTAGGTAAGTGGTTGCCTATGGTTTCAGAGACTGGAGGAAATAGGGAGGGACTCCTAATGGGTTTAGGGTGTCCTTTTGGAGTGATGAAAAAGTTCTAAAGTTGAATATGGTGACAGTTGCACAACCCTGGGAATATATTAAATATATTAAATCATATACTTTCAATGGTTGAATTGTGTGGTATGTGAATTGTATCTCAATAAAACCATTAAAAAATTAGGTTACAAATGCAAAAATTATACAAGTACAAAATATGATTATATTTGTAAAATATATGTATTTATCAACATATAGGGAAAAGGTAACCAACATCAATAAATAGAAAAGAGTATGGAAAAGTATATATTCATACATAAACCGTGCGTATTTTTGTGCGATATAGTTCTGGTTTTCTTCCTTTTCTTAAAAGTTTATTTCATAAAATTTTAAACAATGGCCATTCCTTAATTTGACACACACACATGTTTTTTATTTTTTAGGAGTAATCATTTCTCCAAATAGATGGAAAATAATCTCATCCTCACCCCTTTTAATATCTCTGAACCTGAAGATAAAGCCTAGTACATTCTAGAACAAATGTCTTCAAAATTCTGTCTCTGGAAACTTGTTAGAAATGCAGATTTACAGCTCTACCCCATACCTACTGGATTAGAGACTCTGAGGCTGAGGCCCAACAATCTGTGTTTGAACAAACCCTCAAATGCACCTTACATTTGAGAACCAATGTTGTTCTGAAAACAGTTGCTGCGTTTTTATTGAAAGTTTTTACTTCATTCCCATCAGTCCCCAGTGCTTCAACCAACCCCATGATTTGTTTGCCTATACAAATGTATGTCTATGTAAACTGGAGACCATATTGTTTGGATGTTTTATATGTATTAACAGTAGTCTCAACGCAGCTTCCCATTACATATTCCTGATGGATGAGTTTGTTTTCCTTCTGAACCTGTCCTCCTAGCCACAATGTTCTACAAACAGCTATTGAGACATCTTGTCCCCTTTAATGCCACCTGACATTTAACATCACTAGAATAAAAACTCTAAGGTATAAAATTCATTTTTCTTCACCTAGTTCTCATAATTTGATCATATTCTAGAAGTGCTGCTATAGTCAAAATGATGTCTCTTTTTATGAACTCTCAATGCAAGTCACCTGAATTTCTTTAAGTGGCAATTCACACCTATCTTACTCCTATTCTGATTTCATTTCCTTACTGGACAAGTCATATGAGACTAACAACTATATATTTTTGTCATTGTATTCCAATGTGTGCAAGCATATTGGTATATTGTAAATACATGGTATTTGATTTAGATTTCCAAACTAGAAATTTATCCTCAGGGAATGACTATAAAAGGACATAATGATCTATACATAATGATGTTCATCATAGACTAATTTAGTTTTCAGTCAGAAATTAGAAACATTACAGCTAACAGTAGGCAACAGGTTAAATAAATTATGGAGAGAAAGGTTTGGGGGTCCTAACAAGGCTGATTCATCTGCATGGCCCTATGACTTACAGATATGTCACTATCATGAAAGACATTTCAGCAGAAGGAAAAAGAGGGTCATGTCCTTAAAGTGTATTTTATGAATAATGAGGAAACAAGCTCACCTGAATTTTAACTTTTAGATGAGTAACAAAATTTCTTTCCTCTCTCAAGATCCTTTTTTTTTTTTTTTCTTTTAGAGAGACAGGTAGCACTGAGAAAACAAAAGGCAATCATGAAACTTCGGAATTTTCTTGGACAGCACAGTAAGTAACCTAGAAAACAGCCTCCATGACCACATCCTCTCACCCAGTCCACCGCACACAAATGGATGGGAGTAGGAAGGAGACTGGAACGGGGGTGACCTCCTCAGTATGAGAGCCCAGAGTCAGTGATGTCTAGGGCGGAACCTGTCTCTACAGCAGGTTCCTGGGGCCTGGGTTCTGGGAATGCTGTGGTTGTGAAACATGTAACTGGCTTCTCGGTGCTC